AGACGGACAGCGGTCATACGCGCGGACATGCGCATTAGATATGTAGATCGGCCATGCTTATGTATTATTCATATTTTGTTAAAAGTATAATCTAAATACACGACAGTGGCGACGAATTTGGGATTGTTATAAGTCCAAAAATGTCGACGATTGGAAAAATAGATGTTTTTGATGAAACCCAAGAAAGCTGGGAGACGTATATCGAACGAGTACAACATTTTTTCGCAGCAAACGATGTCGACGACAATCATCAAGTGCTAACTCTGCTGAGTTTGATTGGAAGCAAAACGTATTCATTTTTGAAGGATTTACTTTTCCGGAAAAGCCTGTAGACAAGAACTTTGGTGAAATAGTACGTACATTACAGAAGCATTTAAATCCTAAACCACTAGAAATAGCCGAACGGTTTCGTTTTTATAAGAGAAATCAGCAAGAAGGGGAGAGCATTAAGTTATATAGCTGAGTTAAAGAAATTAACCACACATTGCAATTTTGGAAGTAACTTGGAAGAAACCTTGCGCGACAGATTGGTGTGTGGATTAAGTAATCAGCAAATTCACGACAAAAAGTATAATCATAAATTACAACAAAAATACAAGCCTTTCCACTTCTTTAAAAAATAAGCCGAGTCGGCATTTTGCTTCCAGCAAAGTACAAGATTTTCGAAGTCCCGGTTTGGGGTTTTGTTGGGGCTTTCGGCAACGCTCTGGGAACGACGTTGTTTCTGAATGGAATTTATGGTTGGTTGAGAGGAGTACAGTACTGTTCGAACATTGATTGACCTTATTGACACTCCCAAAAGAGGCTTCTCAAAAAAATAATAATTATAAGTAATAGTATGGCATTCAGGGCGGTTAGTGATTAAATGTATCCGAAAGCCGAGAGAGGTTTAGTAAAAGTCCCGAGGCGCTACGCGCCTCGGGACTTTTACTAAACCTCTCGTGGCTTGAGTGCTAGAACGTGTACGGTGTCGTCAGGTACTGTCCATAGTTGTGCCGATGATTTTCGATGAGGTGCAGCTCTCCAATCAGAGGTAATGAGGTACGTTTTTGTCTTCTAAATTTCCCTCATCAAGCATGCAGGGGAAAATTAGAAGACAAAGAAATCCTTTGTTTTCAACTAAATTTCCCGGGGAAATTTAGATGACAAAAGCGTATGCATGGGTAATGAGGGAAATACGTGATTAAACGTCCCTGTTGAAACTAAAGAAACCGAGTTAACTATAATATTATATAAGTAATTTAAAATGCATGCATAATTATCTGACCAATGTTGAAGAAAGGCCAAACTCAAACCAAGTGAGAACTAATAACGTCCGCAAAGCCTCAATTGTTGTTAACTGGCGCTGAAACGATCCTCGATCCAGGAAAACGTTAAGAATTAAACCATTGGTTTCGGTATCAACTTTATTTGGGATCAACTAGCTACACCGTTTGATTGATTTATCAAGCCGAGCAGAGGCCGCGGAAGCACCTCGAAAATGGGGGGGGGGGGGCACTAACCAAAAAGGGCACTTGAGTCAGTAAACATTCTAAATATGTTAGGTTTGGACGTATGCAGTATATAGCCTCGGTTATATGTAATACGTATTCTATATAATAGCCATGCGTCCTAAACTGTAAATAAACACAACAGTCTCTGGTAGTTTTTCTCCAGTTCATCAGTTTTGTCCTTGTTTATGTGAATAACAAGAAAATAGGGCATTTGTTGACTTCTTAGCTTAAGAGGGCATTTATAATTCCTCTTTAATTTAATTGCTGGAAAAAAGGGCACTTTTATTCCACAAAAAGGGCACATTTTCACTTTCCACGAAAAGTGAGGGACACCTGCTCCCAGTTCCCCCTGTTCCGCGGCCTCTAAGTCTGCGTGAACAAAACTTGCCAAGACTAGCGGTCTTGTTTGATTAGAGTGCTTAATTAAGAATTTAGAACTAAATGAAATCTACACTTGTCACTGTAACTACAATCTCACTTGGTATAAACACGTCAGTAAGGGCGGAACGACTAGAGAAATAGTGAGGCATAAATTTATAGTCCATTTCTTGGATAACAACAACGGGCTACGTTCAATAGGATTTTGCTATACATGCATGCAGAATAATTTAATTAACACTACGTGAGACTTCTGGTATACCTGTTCTTTCGACAGCTGCTCTCAACTGTGGTTCGCTAGCACACATCCGGGCGCATATTTCTGTAAACCAACAAAAAATGAAAAATATTACAGTATTATACTTGCAGATAAGACACACGCGGGATTGAATTCATCAAGCTTAGAATGAGTGCTTCTCGAAATATTTACAATTATGTTAGGTGTGGGTAAGAATTAATATTTCCTATTTTATTCTGATCAGTCTTTGCAAGGGAGCACAGCAGTATTGTTTTCGAGACTTTCGTACCTGTATATGGCTGTAAAATCTCTGAATAGGTAGTCTTTGTCTTCTTTGGTTCGCTAATTTGCATATAAACACTAAAACACTGTTTTTAAATTCATAAACAAGCCAACAATTTCTTTATATTTTCGTATTTTTACATGGTCGTCCGCTGTACATTGTATCGCATGTAACGGTTTTGTAAATACGCGCGAAACCTACAATAAGAAATAGAGGGGAGTGAAACTGTGGGCACATCCGGTAAAATCTTTCGACAGACGCTGTAGCAAATTGCTAGGCACAGCAACCGTTGCTAGGCACAGGCCACTGCTAGATATAATTATGGAATTATGCAATCTTGGCTTCAGTTCACATGTTTTTAACGTGAGTTGATCCATAGTTAATCCAAACTGTGGTTGATCGTATAGTATGCCATATATTTGTCTTTTTTAAATCATATTTCAGTACATTAATATACTAAACAGGCTAAACATTTTCGACATTTCGTCATGATTTTGTTATATTTTGTGTTATTTTATAACATTAAAGCCATTTTCAAATATTCTAATGTGAAATTATCCATATAAAACCAGCATACAATAAACTAAAACGGGAATATTTCGGTGTTTAATGCGTTTTTACGTAAAAATCGCAATTCACAGTTTGATAAATAGTGACAAAATTTATATTATTACCACTCTCAAACATGCCATGGGCAATATTCTCGAAGTAGAAGCATGATATAATACATTTAAAAAGAAATCAGAGTTGAAATGTTTACGAATTGTGAACAAATCAGTTTTTGGTAGGCTTTTACTGTCGACTCTAATCTGATTGTAAGCATTTGGTTTTGCTACAAACCTTGGAGAAAGCGGTTCTCAAATCCCGAAATGTTATTGGTTAATATTGATCACGTGCCCACAGTTTCACTCCCCTCTATTTCTTATTGTAAGTTTCGCGCGCATTTACAAAACCGTTACATGCGATACAATGTACAGCGGACGACCATGTAAAAATACGAAAATATAAAGAAATTGTTGGCTTGTTTACGAATTTAAAAGTGTCTATATGCAAATTAGCGAACCAAAGAAGACAAAGACTACCTATTCAGAGATTTTACAGCCATATACAGGTACGAAAGTCTCGAAAACAATACTGCTGTGCTCCCTTGGTATTTGTTAATGTTTTTCTCAGTTATTTCCATCTTTATAAAATTAATTTTGAAATCAATGGTGTTTCCTGCAATCTGATTGGCTACTAGCAGTGCGATTAATATAACGCATTAATTCGTCTTCATTTTGATTCAATTGTTCTGAAGTTTGGAATGCACGCGGAAAAGGTATAGTCTTCAAAAACTACACTGAGATTAGAGCTGCTAGACTGATCATGAATTGCGAACAAAACCTGGACAGCTTACTCTTGCTTGTAATTCTCTGAGTTGGATATTACTTGAAGACAATAAGACACAAACGAAAGCTGTAGAATCATGTATAAAAAATGGTCATTAAATCAGCCCCTCAAATACTAGGCTACGTGTTACAATTTCAGGGGCTCTTCCACTAGGCTCTTTATTTCCAGGCCTATATGAGACAGATCGGAAATCCTAAAAGAAGTTTCCAGTTATAGAGGAACTTAAGTATGAAATGAGATAACCGCTTGATGAAACTGATGAAGCTTGTTAGGCCTCTAGCAAGGGAGCACATTTCTGTAAACCAGCAAAAAATGAAAAATATTTCATCAGTATTACACTTGTAGAGAAGAAACACGCGGATTTGAATTTATCAAGCTTAGAATAACATGCTTCTCGAAATATTTACAATTATGTTATGTGTGGGTAAGAATTAATATTTCCTATTTCTGTTCAGTCTTTGTTAATATTTTATCTCAGTAGTTATTTCCATCTTTATTATATTAATTTTGAAATAAATTGTGTTTCCTGCAATCTGATTGGCTCCTAGCGTGCGATTGATATAACGCATTAATTCAGCTTCATTTTGATTCAATTGTTCTGACGGTTTTTTTTGGGTTTTTTTGAAGGTATAGTCTTCAAAAATTACAGTGAGATTAGAGCTGCTAGACTGATAATGAATTAATTGCGAACAAAACCTGGACAGCTTACTGCCTTGCTCTGGCTTTTAATTCTCTGGGTTGGATATTATACTTGAATACAATAAGGCCTGTTTCAAACGTCGCGCTTCTCATGTGTCGAACGCATTAGAAACAATAGATGATGAGTCATTTCAGCTGATTATCTATTGTTTTTAATGCGTTCGGCACATGAGAAGCGTGACGTTTGAAACAGGCCTCAGACACAAACGAAGGCTATAGAATCATGTACAAAACGGTTATTAAATGAGCCCCTCAAATACTGTGTGTTACAATTTCAGGGGCTCTTCCACTAGGCTCTTTATTTCCAGGCCTACATAAGACACATCCTAAATCCTAAAATCAGTGATTATTCTAAGATGCAGTGATAACCAATTTGTGCAGTTGGATTAATGGGCGAGGTTCTAGGCAGACACAAAGCTTTCCATTAGGTTTTCAACAAGAATCAAGGCGTCGACCTAGTCTGTAGACTTTTCGACATTTTCAATTATCCCCATGGCTTTTATGCGGTCTAATTCCCTCTTCAGTCGATATTTGAGAGCAAACGGTGCCCTTCGAGTGGTACTACCACTGGATGAACATCATCTTTCAATGTTAGGTTGTTATGTGGACGTTTGTGTAGCAATCTCTCCAAAGCAATCAATATTGACTCCTCGCCATTGGAGTCAGTTACCTTCGGTACACTCGCTTGACTAGGTTGAGTAGCTCCGAGGTAGCCAAACCAAAGATAGGTGTGGTCTCTGATTCTACTACGATAAGCAGGATATGATGCTTTTGTCCTTTGCACTGAATAGGGACAATGCACTTTCCGTGAACGGGGATAGAGAAGCCGTTGAACGCCGACAGCTTGGTTGATGTCGCTTTGATTTGTGGGCGAGAATTGAACTTTTTGTAGAGATTCCTTGGTAAGACGTTCACTTGGCCTCTAGTGTCAATTTCAAAGGATATATCTGGACCACTGGTATTCAATATGTCAGACCAGTATCCTACAAAGATGTCGTCACTCTTGACAGTCAGTGTCAATTTTCAAGGTTTCTTGATATTACATTGGGTTCTCTCACAACAACGCTCTCTAGAAGAAAATCACTTTCAGAGGAAGATTTAAACGAAGCACTATCTTCGGGGTCATCTACTTGATCCACCTTTTTTATTACAGCACCTGGCAGTAATTTTTGTGTTGGTATTTGTTGCACTTTTGATCATATTCTGAGCATTTTCCGCGTTGGTGTCGATCTGCATAAAATTTGCAGTTTGTAATTAATTGGCGGTTGTTTCCTTCTTGAGAACGACATTCAAACTTCTCTCTGTTTCTCTCGTTCTCCTCGTTTCTCTCGCTCTTGCAGGCGAACTTTGTAAGCTTTCTTTAATTCTCTTCCTTATCCGCAGTGAGTTGCTGGGCATGTAATTGACCAAGATCTAATTTTGCTTTTTGTAGCCAGATGTTAGGCCCGCGAAGCATTCTTTCACGAAAGCTATTATCTGAGGCACCACAAATGATCATATCTTTAATGAGGGAGTGTGTCAGAGCATCGAATCCCCACGCTGTACTACGTTTCTTTAGTTCTGTAACAAAGCTCGTAAACGTCTGCAGCCCCTCTTGCTGGCGGTAGGTAAAAAACGTATGTCTCTCAAAGGTAGTATTGCGACGAGAATTACAGTATTCTTCAAACTTCTTAAGAACCGGTTTTAGCTTGACTTTATCGGCTGTATTTTCAAACTCATATGTGTCGTAAATTCTACGCCCTTTTTCGCCTATACAAGTTAAAAGTATAATTGAAGTTTACCTTTTCAGACTTGGAATCTGACTCCATAAAAATCTAAAACAATTTGCCATTGTTTCCACGACTAAAAAAGATTACCTTCAAAGGAGAAAGAAGACGGAGGTGACACGCCGATTATTCGCTCAGCCATAGCTTCGAATGTTCGTCATTCTGCAATCAGTTATCCAGGTATTACTGAATGTCCAGAACCAAAGATCCCGCTTCTTACACCATGTAAAGTTCTTTATTTGGTTCGTAGGTCTACTACGTGATATTTGTACTCTAAACATGTACCAGGGAGACGAGCACATGTAAACAACGTCCTTTAGTCGATCACATATCTTGGATGGAGGTCACGTGAGAAAATCGATATTCAATATCTCCCCTTTCAACATTCATGTAATATCACCAGAACTAACATGAAATATATCTAATATAAGTTTGTTTAGTTTATCGAGATAGCTTGTAGTCTGCATATCTTGATGGCATTCGTATTTGTCGGCGTGACCGAGATGTCACTGTAGGACTTGAACCTCAGTTGCTGAAGGTATTTGACTCCTGTTCCATTTTCGCATTATTTCGGGTGGAGTTAACCTGAAGTTCAGGCCCTAGTTTTAAATAGGACCTGACACAAAACCTGTCTAGACCGTGGGACTCCTTTTTTATTTTTAGACATAGTCATGCAATATGATTGACAAGTGTTGTAGATTTCCTTGCACAAAACATTAATATTCTCATGAACATTTCCGCAGAGTGTGCATTTTGCTTTTTAATTAAACTTAAAAATTCAAGGTACTTTTATATAATTAAGAGTTCAGTTTCTCTATTTAACCGAACAGCAAACAAAGATTTAATTAGTCAGTTCTGTGCACGGCTTGAATGCCAAGCTTTCTCAAAGTCTCAACTTGCTGGACGCGAATATACTCTAACGGACCAGCAACAACGAAATTCTCAATCGTACCACGAAGAAGGCGATGTAGTTCAGAAAACAACGGCGGTAGGACCTGATAAATAAGACTTTTGCCGAAGCCAGTTGGCAGAGAGCAAAGACATCTTGGCTGTCAACAACAAGCTTTCGAATGCATGATTAGTTTTGCTGTTCTTTCAGCGTCGTGTGTCCAAACTTCGTCAAGATTTTGATAAAGCCCCTTTCAAAATACTGTTTGTTTGATTTATTTTCTGCCTTAAAGAACAAAAGAAAATAAATTCGAAGAAATTCGATAATGGAATTTGATACATACGTTTGACCGTCGCCTTGACCGAGCTATTTTTAAACCATTGTTTATGCGAACTTGCAACCAATCAAAATCTTTCATGATGCTGATCAACTAATCAGATTTCCCGTCCACCAGATGGACGGGAATCCCTCAGTTTAGACAGGTTTTGTGTCAGGCCCTATTTAAAATTAGGGCCTGAACTTCCGGTTTTGGGTGGAGTGTTGGCGTGTTGACTTGGCAGTTGTAGGTTATCATAATTGCTCGCAACTCTCAATAGACACAAACTCCATTGCATTTATACATTTTAGTTTATTTTCCTATTTTTCGTATCGTTGTGGATGAATTTGTGTGTTTTAGGTGGATATTTTACTTTTTGAAAAAGTTCTAAAATTTATCTTTATTTTAACGAAACGTATACACTATTTGCATCTTTATTCAGGAGGAGTTAGTCGTATGCCTTTTATCCTCTCCTGTCACCTCGTCTTCGTGTTATCGTTTAGCTGTTGCATGCAAGTATCCTGTATTTATTTATAATTTGTAATTTCTATTGAGACATATTTCATTAAACTAAACTAATTAAAACTACTAATATTTAATTACAGGATCAAAACGGAAATTTAACCAAGATCGGAATGATTTAGACAAATATTTAATGGAGAGAACTAAAGTAAAAATGTGGTATCTTTAAGGTAATTCCGCAGTAATTGTTCCCGACATGAGAATGTGCTGAAACTTCCCAGGCATAGAGTTTATGATACACTTAATTAAAGTACAATCATACAAAAAAGTCGGGGTTAGCGAACTCGTTAAGAAGATATGACAATCACAATATACCACCTTTACCCCAATATGGTGCCATCTTGACGCTCATTACGAGTAACAGCAAAATCACAACAGCCCGATATTTATTCACGTTTTTAGCGCGGATTTTGCTTTTGTAAATTTATCTTGTAATTATTTTTGGGGAAAATATTGTGTTTTGAGCAAAATGAAACTACTAATGTGTACAATTCTGATCTATAAATGTTTTTTCCACATTTCTTTACATATCTTTCTTGGAGAACATGCATTGATAAAGGATTTTTTTTCAAGATCCAGAAATTATTTTTCTTTTAATTTCGGATATGAAATGTAAAATGCATTAAAGAAATAAATTATCAGTTAAAAGACGGGGGTCACCGATCTTTTAGGGAATTGTGGCATTAAAACGTGAAATACAAGTAAATAAATATACTATAGACACGGGAACCCTAGCTACACTTTTGTATGGCTTTTTTTTAAAACATAGATTTTAGCGTAATTCTTTGCACGAATGTAACCAAAGATGTTTTGAAGTATATAACATAAAATTGTCATAAAATGATTTTTTTGAACGGTATACGTATAATTGATGAAATTATAAGTTATAAGATGTGCGCAGTAAAAGTGCGCAATGCAAAACTGCGGAATTACCTTCAGGAGGTTTAGAAATACAATTTAGTACACAATCATGCATTGGATAAGTTAATTCTATACGAGTTCTCAAAGTACATATAAAAAACAAAGGGACCCCGACAGTTAGGTGCCCCAATCAGCCACAGCCTATTGCCCAGAAAATTAGAAAACGTTAAAAAGCAGGTTCAGAATCAATGGGAAAATGCAAAATTAATAATGCTAAATAATAAAGCCTCCGTCGACCGTGAACTGTAGATGATTTTTTATTCCATATCAAAAAAACAAAGTTATTCTTACTAGTTGCTACATCATGTGTTGGAGACTGTTATTGTTGTTGTTACAGACACTGGAATATTCTATAAATATTCAATATAAATATAATATCTCAGAGATCAAACAAAGACAACATTGAACAGGGGCATACACACTAAATATGCATATAAGGGCCCCCTGTTCCTTCGTTACGCCACTGGGCGTAGCTACAATCGCGTGCAAAAATAATGAGACTTTTCACATTTTTGGCCATTTTAAAGTAAGTTGGCCACCCCCAGCCCCCATGATCAATGTTAGAAAAAGTGAGATGATTTTTCACTTTTCAGTCATTCACATTGAATTGGGGGTGAGGGGGCATTTACGCGGTTGTCTCAATAATTTTTGCTCCTGATTGTCTCTATTTGTACTTTTGAATGAAACGTAATTCGTTCATGTTGATTCAACTTCAGTGCTCCAGGGAGACGCTTGACTTGGATTTCTTGCTTAATGAACCTTTTGCTATATAATATTTTTTCTGAGGTTATCTATAACTGAGTACTTCATGTAAAAAGAATATAGGGGATCTTGAGAACTATAGTTATTTTTTGTTAGGAAAAGACAATTAATTGATGAATATATACATTGGAAGAAGATTATAAAATAATGAATAAATTTCAGACAATTTTTCCCCTCGCTGACAATCATGAGTATATTTTTTTCTCTCAAACAGAATATCTTCTTTAAGTTCAAGAATTTATAACAGACAACGCATTGTTCTGACCTACTTGCATACAATTTTGGAAACATTTCAATGATTTTCCTACTTTTAGCTGAAATGTTACGTAAGATTAACATACTCACTAGATTTTAAACCCAATTGAAGCTTTTTATTTATGTTGATATACGGACTTACCGATCGTAAACTTGCGCTAGAATTTATTGAACTGCTTCCATCTTCTATGCTTTTGGGATTATGTGAGATGAGCTCAAGCAAATCTGGTCGCACATGCGCAAAATATCAATCTATTTTTACGTACTGACTGGACACGTTACACACACCTTATACCACACGTTACACCACACGTTACATAATAATCTGTAGTAAAACAGACAGAGATATGATACGTTACACACGTTACACCCATTGCCTTTAAAAATAAATATTTATTATATATCAATAGTCAAAGTCGCATTTTTCTAGCGTTTTATTGGTTGAGAGCATATCACGTGAGAGTGACGAAATTAGGCTGTCTCCCTCGCAACAACGCGAGAGGGAGATATTAGAGACCTTACGATTTTGGGACGGCAACGCGACGGCGACGGCCAGAACAAACTCCTTCAAATAAATGGTACTAAAGATAGTTCGTCGTATATTTTCAATCGTCTGAATTTAATACAGTTTTAAAAGTTGAAGACATATGGGTTTTATGGTTGGGAAGAGTTCTGCTAAATCAGTTTGAAGTTGCACTTGTACATGTTGTGGCTTGGAATGCAGCCGTTGTATCAAGACGTTAAAATCTCTGATTTAGCGTTGTAAACAGAGCGAGGACAATGTTTATATAATTATTCAGATATTGTAATTACTCAATTCTTTTCAATGATCTATTGTGTTGGTAGCCGTTGCCGTCGCGTTGCCGTCCTAAAATCGCAAGGTCTCTAATACGTTATCGACCGGCGAATAACAAAAAAATCACGTGCGCCAATCACGTGAAGATGCGCCCATTGGACTTTCCTCGTACGTAATTAAAATTTCGCTTTAAATAACTGCAGCAGTATAGCCAGTGTTTAATATAACGATTTAACAATAAAATATTTCATGTATTTACGTTCATTTGTTCTTTAATTTGTTGTTTTCTTTGACTATTGATATATAATAAAACATTTATTTACTGAGACCTCGGGAAAGCAGTGTGATTTGTGGACCCTCGACCGTCGATGTTTCCCTCGGCTTCGGCTTGGGAAACATCGACGGTCTCGGGTCCACAAAACACACTGTTTCCCTCGGTCTCAGTAAATAAGTGATAAATATTTATTTTTAAAAGCAAAGGGTGTAACGTGTGTAACGTGTCATATTTCTATATATTTCACTGTAGATTAGTATGTAAAGTAGGTGTAACGTTAGTGTAACGTGTAGTGTAACGTGTAGTGTAACGTGTAGTGTAACGTGTAGTGTAACGTGTAGTGTAACGTGTAGTGTAACGTGTAGTGTAACGTGTGTGTAACGTGTGTGCGTTTGCTTAATGAAGAAAATTTACATGAACTAATCACTTTAGATTAGTTGGTGAATATCCCACAAGCAGAACAGCACATACTGCAGTATAAATGACAAAGTTTTCTTATTTTTCGTCATATGGCTAAGCTGAGGAATTGTCAAATAATGATTCCCGCCTCAGGAAATTATGGCTAATTTGAGCTTGGAAGGACATAAGAGTAGTAAAAACACTACATTAGATTTTTATGGCTTATTGGATGTGTCTTACTATATCGCAAAGTATTTTAATAGATCGTGTTTAATAGATCGTGTTTACCAAAGATTTTTCTTTAGTAAATAAATGATAGTAAAAAAATTAAATGCGTTAGAGAAGCTTCTTTATTTTTGCCCAGTCCCCTGCGCAGCCTCCTTGCAGAATTTCTACATTTTGGGGGACAAAAACCTTTCGGTTAATTAATTGAAATATGTCAATTTCTTGTCAACTTGATCGCTAGAGTTTGGCAAAATTTCAAATTTTGGACAGCTAACCCCCAGACAGCTCCATCTCGGACAATCGCGTGCAAAAATAATGCGACTTTTCACATTTTTGGCCATTTTAAAGTACGTCGGCCACCCCCGTTCCCCCATGATCAATGTTGGAAAAGGTGGGTTGAGTTTTCTCTTTTCAGTCATTCACACAATATTGAGTTGGGGTGATGGGGGCATATATGTGGTTGTCTCAATAATTTTTGCTCCTGATTGTAGAATGTCATGCCTCGGGTGGAGAGACAAAAATGTACGCATATCTTACACCCAAGCGAGACTTCTAGTGGGTCATGCTCCTCACGGAGATTATATAATGTTTATTTCAAAGTCTCTAAAATGCCATTTTCAGCCACCTTAGGCTTGTTTTTTAATTAAATAAATATGAAATCCATAGCCCGCAGTATTTTATCATTATCAAACCAAATTGTAGCACGGTGCACTTCACGACATTAAAAATCGATATTAAAATTATATTGTGTGCAGACAAATTAAAAATCCAAATTTAAAACTGGGTATATTGCAGCGTGATTTCATTATATGAAATTAATTCTAAACACAGAATAACAGATTGAAATGTTATTAAACTGAACAGGTTCGACTAACCTCGACGACAAGCTGCAACAACTGCACGTCTACCTGTAAAGGCACAAAAATAGAAAAAATATTACTCTATTATATTTGCAGACGTAAGATTTGATTTAAAAATAATTGATTTAAAAAATTAGCACGCGTATTTGACGCAATATTTGCAATTATGAATTATGTACGTGTCCTTAAAAGTCGACAAGTCGTTACGTTACTGAAATCTGTCCTTCAGTGTTAATATTTTTTATCTTAGTTAATATTTTTTCTATTTTAATCCTTCCTTTTGAGTGGCATTCCCGTATCGTGATCCAAAATACTGAGAGTAAGGCAGATTATGATAAAAAAAGTAAACTTTTGGAACTAACTTAGTACTGTATTTAATACACGAGATCTAATCAAGGGGCCGATTACATGAGCCGAATTGTCCCGGCTAGCCGAGGTGGGACAATTTTACCGATGCCGTGAATGGTCAACTATTGTGTTTACGCACGCTTGGGATCAATTAGTTCTGAATCATGCGAATTCTAAAAACATTGTATTTCAAAGGGTTTGCAGGGGTTTTTTATACACCATGTATAGTAAATACTATTAAAAACAACTCCCCTAGCCGGGTTCTCACTTGTTGACAACCGAGACAACTCGGTAAGGTTCATTAAAGGTTCAATTCATTTATGACACCATAAATATCATCACTATTTTTCAAATTTGGACGAAATGTTTATCATCATGATACATGTAAATTACAGTAAATATCCAAAACTTCAGACATGTTCTTTTAATAGTTTTCAATTTATGGGGATTTTATATTTTGAGGATTTTCGTTAATAATGGGCGTGGTTTGAACAAATTATCTAAGGTCCTAATATTTTAGTGATCTGCTACTGCAGATTTACTCTATTTTTTATAAAAATAAGGCATATATACAACTTGATATTGTAGAATTAAAAAATGATACCAATAATTGAATAGAGCCAATTTGAAACCTGTTATTCGCATTCAAATTACACGGCCATCTGAAAATCAACCTTTTTATTTTATCAAAAAAATTATTATAACTTTTAGGTATTTTATGGCTATGGTTGAGATGTTACCGTGTTTAAATAATTGTAAATAATAATAAGATAATAATAATAAAATTAAATTTTGGGTTAAATTACCATCGACCTACTTGATCGATATAGCAAATTTGATATGAAAATAATGTTTATTTAGTATTTAAAACACGAGCAGCAGTGTTTTATCAGATATATAACGCGAGGTGCAGCCGAGCATTATTCCGGGTGTATAAAAAAAAGGTAATCGAACTTCAGCGCGCTATTGTACCTGAATTACTATGCATATGAACGAGATTTTTCCACATTCGGAAAGATCATGCTTTTAGCTGTTGAATGATATCGCACAAATGTGGGAAAGATAAACCAACTTTTAAAGTTTCTGTACTGTCCAGCACAATTATCTGAAAACTATTGCATTCAATAACATGGGGAGCTCTTTTTTCAGAAACTCACAATTTCTGCTTGCACTTGATAAACAAAAGGAGTGTCATACTTTATGTCATCTGATATTAGAAAGAGAGGCTCACTGTGGAGTTTGTCATTCTTCATGTGGTATAGAGCAACTGGGCATAACCGATGTTGTTCCAGTAAAAACCTTGGATTTCGTCTTGCACCATAAAGTCGTAATTCTCGTCGAAATCCAACAAGGCACTATACATGTTTCAGACAAGTTGTTTCTCGATCTTTCACGTACCTTGCTTGACATTTAATTTGCAATGAAAGAATGCACAATTAATCAAGTTGCAGATGGAATTAAAAAGAAGTTCTTAATAGCTTATGGCATTCATCCTCGATATATTTTTCGAAATCACATTTATTTAAAGTGGTTTCAATATCTATGATTTAGTTTGAATTTGAATCACAATGAATTAATTTTAAATTCCGAAGTAAACTCCACAATCTGATATATACGAAATATTCCTATTGTTGCTCAAATTTTCTCGGTTATTTTCGATTATCAGTGTGATAATAGATCATAATATTAAATGAAAAAAGTTGTATGATACAGTAATGATGAACCAACTGAGCTACGCAATCAGGTCGGTTCGAGTATGTGATATTTAGGAACTGAGTTTAGTTCCTCCAGTGTAATCTGATAATCATGATATTTGATATCAGTGTAATCCAATAATCATGACCAAGACAGCAAATATCATGATTATTAGATTAAACTGATATCGAAAGAACTAGACTCAGTTCCGAAATATACGTACATACTCGAACCGATCTGACCGTGTAGCTCAGTAGGCAGAGCATTGGGCTGGTATTCCAAAGGTCGTAGGTTCGATTCACACAGTGGCCAGGCATATTTTTCAAACCTCCTGATGTGGATATACACTCAGAGTAACATCACAAGCATTTGAAGAAATTGTTAACCTAGGTTAAGCTTACCGACCACTGAACAACTGGCCCCGGCTATCCAAGACAATTTGTTCAGACCACGCCCATCTTTGAAAAAAAATCCTCAAAAATAAAAAATCCCATAAATCGAAAACTATTAGAGGTACAAGTTTGAAATTTGGATTTTACATGTCTCACGATGATAAATATACCCTCCAAATTTAAACAAAATGAAGAGGTATGGTTCTACCACCTGGATGAATGAAATTTCCCTTGGCCGAGTTGAACATTACACATTTTACCCATGTAGCACTCAAACTAACATCAGAATGCTGTTTTTGTGGTTCAATAAACGCTTTTAAGTTTGGGACAGCGAAGCGACTGCATTTCACAAGAATGCAAGCGAAAAAATCATATTGGGGTCAATACTAAATATAATTATTGCAATCAACACCATTCTATGCGCGAGGAAGCCGCAAAATACAACATATAAACCATCTTTAATCAGTTTCGAACAACGATTGTTCTACTGTTGAGCATTTTTAGTCTGAAGGAGCTTATCAGGGGTCAACCCATACATGTAATCGTAATTCAAAAGTCAACTCGTTTAGCTGGGCAACTCGGCTAGCGGGGACAACTCGCTCCATGTAATCGCCCTCCTAATTCAAGTACTTAGCTTAAGAACTGTTATTAACTAAACTTAGAACCAACTAACCTAAGCGATTGAGCTGACAGTACATTGATCATGAGCTAGTTTTAAACGTGGTTCTCCTTTGATGACAAAAAGAATAGTCAACGTACTGATTTGGATTTCACGAAAGAGAACGACGAAATCAAGGGCTCGAAATGTGCACAATGAATTCACCAAAAAAACTAACTTGGCAAACATTTGACCAAATATAATACTGCATCCAGTGGCATCAAACAGGATCTTTTGATACAAATGTATTTTTGTTATTTGTCAAAACAGTCCTCAAGGCATAAATGTCTTTGCACCTTTTGACTGCAGTGGACCCACCCGGCCAGCAGACCTTCTTTTCCAAGTCAGAAGGCTCTTCTCGCAGAGTACAGTAAACTCTGTTTGATGGCGGGCAAAATAAGAAAAGTTTGTTTCTTATATTTGAGGCTTTCTACCTTAGCCTGGTCTTCCGGTATAGAATTAAGCGGTTCATTGCTACAGTAACGTCGTTGTCATCGAAACCAGGTTCTTCCGAGGAAATAAATCGAGCAATGGATGACGTCAAAGAAACAATGTTCCAAATGCGGTTGAACTTGGAAGTACATGCAGCGATCGCATCTTCATATACTCAGCAAAAAAAATTATATACAGGACAGTCACCTGTTTCGCTTTTAAATTGAAAAGCGGCAATATAAGCATGTGCATGTAGGTACAATCGCGGTTAATTAATTAAACAGGTGTATGCAATGGGATACGCAGTGTTTAACGCAAATTTTAACGACAAAATGGCTGCTGTTAGAATTGGCTTATAAGATATTATGCAAGAGATTTTGTGAAAGCTTTTGTTTATTTACCGTGACAACTATTTCAATAATTACTGAGTATTAACTATTACCTATAATATTATAATCACATCACAACGTATGTCTAAATAATGGGCACTAAATGCGATTCAACAACCAGGGACGACGCTGGACCACTTTGAATGAGGGTTGTAATTAATTTTGCCGCGTTATTGGGCAAATTTTGCCGAGTCATTACAACCACTAATTTTCCCAGGAAGGGGTGACACCCCCTCTCCGCACACACATACACCCTTTAGTGCCGGTAGTGAACCCAATATTTCGGTAGTGAAACCTGGCTCGAGTAATAATACATTGGAAACAATGAAATAAGTTATGCATAAATCAAATGAAAAATCGGCTCCAACCCAGGGCCCCACGGAACAGGGGGGAAACACGGATGGCATGTGCTCCCCACGTTTTTAAAAATGGAAAAGGCAGCCTCGTTCGTAGGGCTTTCTTTGGTTGCACCATCGCGCGGACACCGGTAAACCCTGGTCAGGATTTGTCATGCGCTTAGAGCTTGCCTAATTTAGTATGTTTGCGAAAATTAGCAAATAATATTGAAACAAGTAAATGAACTTACATGTCTTCATCGGGATGTAAGTATCTATTCGAGTCGACAAAACTTCGACTACCTTGTACTGTGGAAAATTTTCTTTGCATTTAAATTGCTGCAACATCTCTTCTAAGAATACTCCCATTTTGACCGAAATTGAGTCATCATCATCCTTCAAATGATGTTTCGTTTCCCTAGATTCTTCAGTGGATGAAACTTGCTGAACTTGTTCGACATAAACTGTCAATATAAGAACAATGGAAATGCTCTTTGAAGTTATGGGGATATATAACTGCGGATTGAGAGAGAGCGCAACACCTGAAAGATACAAACAGAAGTGCCTTCGCGCTCGAAATGTCGAAGTTCTGTTTGTATTTTTCAGGTAGTCGTATCTCTCTCATGAATCCGCAGTATCTTGTTATCGTCTCTATCTACACTAACACAGACCGTTATAGATTATAGCTATGAAGTTAACTTACTCATTTCCTGAAAGGTCGTTATTTTCAAATTATATGTCTTACCCACTGTGTGAACTTTTGCTCTTTGTTCTGGTACTTCAACGAAATAAGAGGATACAGGTTCATGGTAACGCGTATGGTAGCAGTTGGCGGTATCTTCTAGAAAACCTTCCATAGCAAGAGAAGCTGAAGATCTATATTCATCGTCTTTGTTCAGAGAAGGACTTTTTCCAGCTGATAGCATCTCAGCACTGGCGTTTTCACCTTGCAAGATCAGTGGAAGCGTCAGTCGAATTGAATTAATGTATTGCAAACAATCCATTCAATTAATTTGCGAGTAGTAATGTAGGTGGTTTGGGGGGCTAATTTTCAGGGATTTCAGGCGGCGCAGGGCGGCCCAGGGCGGCGCTTCGTTAAACATTCAGGGGGTGCATCATTAAAAATTCAGGGCGGCGCATTATTAAAAATTCAGGGCGGCGCCTCATTAAAAATTCAGGACGGCGCATCTTTAAAAATTCAGGGTTGTGCAGGGTGGCGCATCATCATTAGCATAGAATGAGGTGGCGTGATGTGGTGGATCTCATATGGGGTGTGCTCACTTAATATATGCAGACGTCACGCGGGCGAGCTTGGACAAGATCGGGCATAATTTGCTGACTAGGCAACTTTTAGCGTCCCTCCACGTGTGTGATACAATAGTGGGATTAAGATTGGTTAACTATGATTGGTTGTTTGAATTAACGACTTTTATACAAGCGTCTGTATAAAATCGACAAGCGTCGGCTTGTAATAGGCTTGGTTCTACATCAGTCATGGAGTCTCTACACGGTAAAGCTGTTACCTCTACAACTACAAAAAATGGTACATTTTTGTTCTGTGAGGAAAAACCAAGCTGTGAGTTCTTTTGCTCAGAAGAAGATTGTTATATGTATACGAGAACTGTAGCTGCGTTTCGTGGAGGTGGTTCTACAGGGTGTATCAAAACAAACGTAATCAACAGCGCGCTATTGTATCTGAATCACTCTGCGTATGAACGAGATTTTTTCACATTCGGAAAGGTCATGCTTTTAGCTGCTGAATGATATCTTCTTCATGCCAAATGAATAAAAAATGAGCAAATGCGAATCCGATAAAAAATGTTAGTTGTGTTTAAAACCATTGAAAATGAACGCCCTTTGGTGCTTAAGTTGGTGAATTTCACTTCAATAAAAGACGCACATATTCATAATTATTATTAAGTAGGAATAAATCTTAGCTTAGTTAATTGCTTTTTCTTTTCTATGCATCGTTTTAATTACTCACAGAGGTGAAAATATTTTATCGGCCTTGTACATGCTTATTCTTTTCCACTTGGCATGAAAAGCATGTCATTCAATAGCTAAAGGCCTGATCTTTCCGAATATGAAAACCAATTGTTCATACGCGGAGTAATTCACGTATAATAGCGCGCTGAAATTCGATTACCTTTTTTTATACACCCTGTACATTCCGTGTGCCCTACACATCAGAAACTTGCCAGGTAATGTGTGGTCAAAGACACAATGAATCATAATTATGGACGACCCTTCTTCATTTGTTCTGAGCAAATGAATCCCTGCAAGTTCTGGCAATGTGGAGATGTATTTGAAGATCCGAGACCGTTATGTCAACATGGCATGATGTGTTGTCTACGGAAAGTCAAGAAAGATGGTCCGAATCAAAACCGTCTGTTTTAATGCTGCTCGAAGGAAAACTCTTGTGGTTTCTTCGATTGGAAGCTACAATACCCTCGTGTAATCAACACTGGCATCGTGCTCTTCAGTAAACCACTACAATACCAGTACATGATTGAAGAAACAGGAGAGACATTTAATAGTTTTAAATCTAACACTAAGCAGGTAGACCGTGCGCCGTTGGCAATCTGGTTCCCCGAGCCTGCGATCCTTGGGAAGGAAACGAAGGCTCTGGGATAATCCATGTCAGACATACAGAAAACTGTATGTCGACCGAACTGCGCATGCGTTGGCTAAAGCAAAACAAATTGTTTGAAATATTTTATTGTTTTGTCTATAAAATGATGTTTTTTTTGGGTTTTGGTGGAAATGTAGATGTTCCTCATAGTGGGATACAAAAGGTGTGTTAGCGACTGAATAAGAAAAATATTGCGTGTGAAACAGGGTCAGTATAGCAGGAGCCGCGAAGAGTGCTGTTGTTGAAGAAAAATGTCACAATTAATTGTAATCGTGGCCATTCACCTCTGTGTCAGTTTGAAAAAGCTGACAAATGTACATGTAGAGACATTCACAGTTCCTCCAGCATAATTTAGCCGTTTAACGCTATTATGTTTCTAATGGTTGAAAGAGCGCGTGGAAAGGACAATTTAAGAACAAAAGCAATTACAATGTACTGTGTGTTAATTGCTACTGTAGTATTAAAGGCAGAGTGCGCCCAAATTCGCGCATGCGCATTGCGTTCGAAAACTTGAAAAACTTAATGTTGTAAATCAAGTTTTAAAAAGCAAAATGGCGTCGTATATACTGTAGTAGGGGAAAAGAAAGTTATACGAGTTTAAAATCAGTTGTATAATGATATATATTTGTGCGAAATCAAGGCTAATAAATTGATATCCGGATGTTCCAAATTATCACAATTATGTATGCGAAGTGTAATTTGATACCCGTCTATTCAAATGAAGTATCGTGCGGTATTGACACATGGCGCGGCCGTGAATTGTGTGTCTGGCCGAATTTAACATTTTTACATGCGTTCAGTGCTATGGAAAGCTCGAAAACTGGCAGTGACGATAATTTCCGTCGTCCTACTGAGCCTGGCCCATCTTTTCAAGCGCCTGAAAGTAGTACGCACGGTGGGAAAAGACGTGGTTCTGGGAGGAAACGCAAGCATGACGAAGGCTACGAGAACGTTCGAAGTGCGATTTGGAAGACAATTTCCTTGCACAATGATGTATACGACCAGTGGATGGATGTACGCAAAACTCACGGCTTTAAGCAGAACTCAGATTTTGCCCAATTTCTGTTGAGATGCGTGAGAAATTCAACTGACATTGAAATTTCCTTGATCCAAAATACAACAGACCAGTCCGAGCTTGGTCCTCAAGCAACATCAACTCCTCGAAAGGCAAAAACATCAGGTATTTATGCTTTTTTTTCTCATACGTATGCCTTACTCACCTATGTGTTTTAAATTTATAAATGATATATACAGTGAACTGAATCTATAATAGTTTAGTATATAAGATTTATACCATTGTAATGTTCTTATATGACGTCACATATCCTTAGAGTGTCCTCCAGATGCTCCCTAACAATATCTGTTCGGGTACAACAACCACATACAGCACAAATATTGACCATTTTAATACAAAATTATTATAAACTTTGTTTACAAGAGTTATATTATGCATAGATTGCTAATTTGTCCTCCAGATGCATCATCACAGGTGCTGTGACATCATATGCAATGGGTCTATTGTCTATTGTTCCTCTTACTGTTTGACCTATTGGCTATACCCATTATAGAACACATGGCGGTATTTTCTTTCTTAGTCCTTGCTACAATTTCATCTTGAATATTTTTCTTGTTTTATCTCTCTAATTATACTTTTATATGATATGGGCTTGTTATTCCTTCATAAATTCCTGTAGGGTATGTATTTAGGTAAATTTGGTTCAATGCAATACATACTGCTTGTGTGAAATATATTATATATACAAAATATATTTCATTTGTTAGACTGCAGGCAGGCTAACAAACCATGCACTAATGCACTCAATTTAGACAAGATATGTTATTTGAAACCAATTACCAATATACCAACTTTTGTTTTGACTGCTAGTGGGATAGAATTACATTTCAATTAAGCATAAAATGTAGCTCAGAGTAATTAAAATATGAATGTAAAAGTATTGTATCAAAAATTTGTATCGCTGCCTCTCCCAATTCTCCTCTGCAGAAGCTTTATGTTTTGTTTTGGGTTTTGTTTTGTGTTTTTCACAGGCGGGATAATTGCGGGTTATGCAGACTAGGGGAAAACTCTCAATCTCCCACATATGTCTCTAACCACACCAATTAGAATTGTAAACATACAAGAATGTGTAAACTGTAGGTGTGGCCACAGACATTTGTGGGATCGAATGTGATAAGAATTTTTGCTAAAATGCCACACTTCGACAAGTTCTGTAATAGTACATGTACTTATATGAACTTTAGAAAGAAACATTTATGTGCCTATACAAATGTATGAAAAATGCCAAACTGGAATGCAGGCTGGCCATATCCACAAAACACAAACATTCTCCAACTATAAAAATTTTTGCTGCAATGCTACAGTTCAGTGAGATCTGTAATATATTGAATCTTGTCTAAGCTATATGTATAATTCAATTGCAATGTTATATAAACAAATCAAATATCATTTGGATGTGCAGTTGCCACTAGCCACCATAAATTTGTTTACTTCTATATATATTGATATGCATACGACTTATAACTGTGTATAATGTTTTAGGTATACCTGAATCAACAATCATGGAGCTCACCATACCCACACATGAGAAAGTTTTTATTGACTCTGTCATTAGAAATACATCAATTGCTATGCAGTCTCATCCAGTAGACAGTGATGATGAAAGTGAAAAAGAAGATTCTGATGATGATGATGATGACAGTGCAGACGAGAGTGGTGATGGTGTTCATTGCGAGTCAGATGCTGATGATGTCAGTTCCCATGATGGTGACAGTGACAGGGATATTTCATATTATGTCTTCCCAGATTTTGATCGACTTGACATTAGTTGTAATAAAGACTCTCTTGATCATGAACAGGGTGCTATTGACACAACACAGATTGGTCCAATTGATATGGAAATTAGTAGTTCAAGTGATGAATTAGGTTCCATTGAATGTAATGTACCTGTGCTCCAACCTGAGTTAGTGGAGGGAAACAGTCCTTCAATCAGACTTCTTCCTTCTGGTTATGAGAATGAAAAAGCTGTGAATCTGAAGGAGGAACTTTCTTTAGTGAATGAAACAAAGTTCATTTGTAGCATGTCAAGCATTCGGGAATTGTTCTCTTTTTGTATGGATGTTGATTGTCAAATGCCATTGGTCGAGGTAAAGGAAACCTTTGTTGGCTGTGTGTTGGAGATATGATGGAAATGCCAGGCAGGTCACTGTGGTGAATGGCAATCAAGCAAGATGGTCAAGAAGTTATATGTGAATAATTTACTAACTGCAACATCATTATTATTCACTGGCAACAATTTTACCAAGCTTTCTCTTTTTTCAAAATGCCTATCTTTGGCCTTCTTTAGCTCTTCTACATTCCACCAATACCAACGGAAGTATCTTGCACCCCTTATACACACCTGGTGGAAGGATATGCAAGAGCAAATGTTTTCCACTCTTGGAGACCAGTCGGTTGTTGTGGCTGGTGATGGTCAAATGGACTCTCCAGGGTTCTGTGCCAAGAATTGTGTATACACACTTATGCATGAAGAACTCAATTATGTCCTTCATATTGAATTGGTCGACGTTCGGCATTCCCAATTGAAAAGTGCTGTGATGGAAAGAGTTGGATGTGAAAGAGCATTGGATTTCTTGATGCAGAAATTAAAAGTGGACGAACTTGTCACAGATGCATCATCTCAATTGATTAAATTGTTGGGTTAGTCTGTTAGTCTAACATCACTTTATTCACTTGCACTGTTATCCATATATTTGGTATGATCTTTTCACTCATAATATGGAGTGCTATAAACCATTATGATTAAAATGAAACCTATCCAAAATCAAATAACATTTTGTAGTAATACTACATACTGTATTCTAACTTTTTACCCACAGATAAGAGGTATGAAAAGGTTTTCCATCAGTTAGATATATGGCACAAAAGTAATAAGTTGGACAAAAAGTTACTGAAGGTTTGTTTACACTTTACGTATATATTTTTCATACTCTGGTCTATGGTAATTATGCAACAATAGTATGCATTGTGTTTGACTGTGTATCCAATAGTACAAAACGTTATGTTGAAATAATCAACAACCACTCAAAGTATAAATAGAAAAATAGTTAATTGATCTGCTTTTCTGTCGGCCGGGAAGTGGTTGTTGATAAGTTCAACAACAGATTTGTGTTTCGATCATAGATCCTGAATGTTTTAAAAATTTTATCTAAACATAAAATTGATATATTTTCAAGGCTTGTAAGAAACGAAAAAATGAAGTTTTGAAGGCATGGATTGCACCAATAAGGAACCACTTTTGGCATTGTGTCAAAAACTGTGGTGGTAATCTTATGAAACTTAAGGTGAGAATAAACTACATATACTTATAAAGTAGTTATAGTATATCTGCTTCTTAGTTATTACAGTATGTTATATAAATGACAAACTGTATCATAAGGCATGGCTATCAGTTGTACTCAAATCCTAAATTATTTTTATATTTTTATTAAGACTGAGTGGATCAACGTCCTAAAGCATGTGACCAATGTCCACACCTGGTACAATGGTCAATGCTCACATGGTCCTCTAAATGATGTTGGTGAAAGGCAATGGATCAACAAGGATTCAGCTGCGATGCAAGCCCTCCGCGATATTGTCCTTGACAAGAAATTCCTAAAGACACTGCCATTCTACACTCGGTTTAGGTGAGAAAAATTATTTCTCTAACACCGATGACAGCTGCTGTGCTCGAATTACCTACACCACCCTTTTACACCCTTCTTGATCTTCTGCTATGCACCATCCAGTGAGAGAAAAATTTTCCGTCCTTCCTTCTTCTCAGCTAGCGGAAAATAACACTTGCCTTGTGATATGTGCTGTACCCTGATTTGTTGCAAGTTTACATCCATTCATTATATTTTTACAGGCACACTGGAAAATTAGAGGCATATCATAGCCACAGATTGATGTATGCTCCCAAGCGATTTGGATTCAAGTGAGTATTAAAAGTTATTTGAATCACACTATACAATACACTGAAATTATAGGGCCGCCAAGACGGGCCCCGGGACAAAACTTCCCATGGGGGGCCAGGGCCGTGCCAATCGGTTTCTGGTTAAGGGGGGGTGTATTCCAAAATTTGGGCCCCCTTCCATTTCAGGGCCCCCCCTAAAAAAAATTTTCAAGAAAGCAAAAATTTTTCCGGAAAATGTTGGCGGCGGGGATTGGGGTGGTCGACAATATGTTTTCGGAAAACAAAAGTTCCCAAAATCTTTCACAAAACAACATTTTCCAGAAATTTTCAGCGAACAAATCCTTAATTTTTTTAAAATTTTGTAATTCCAGCATGTCAGGGCCCCCTCCCCGCAAGTTGGGGCCCCCTTTTTACTTTTTTTTGGTGTGTTACACCCCCCCCCCAGGTGGCACGGCCCTATGGGGAGCCCTATGAGGTCATAATTGTAAAATGGGAAAAGCGTTTTTCCAATCTATTACACTTTATTGCATATTATCCCGGCTTAATGCAGCTGGGATTTATACTCTTGTAAGCAATCTTGTATCCATAAATTTTAAGGGCCTTCATTGCTTTGGGGGCTACTTTGAGCTGGGGGCCCAGTGCAAAGCACCCCCCCCCCCCTTCTCAGTGGCCCTGGATAAGAGTAGAAATCATTGATTGAAATTCAACTATCATTAACCAGACTTTAATTAATCAACTGTATTTTATATGTCCATAGATATGAGGGTTTGTTTGCTCGCAGTCTTCTCGCTGCTATTGACCATAATCACCACCTCCATCGAAAACAAGCCAGAAATGCCAAAGGAGAATTGGTCTTCTCTAGACGTTGGAGCAAGCGAGCTAAAAGATGGAAGGTGGTGATTGTGAAAGAAAAGAAAACATACAGCTATCTTCCTGTTCTGTGTGCAAATCTGCTTAAAGAAGCCAGCAAGGAGTTCATGAAGAAGATTAAGCCTGTGAGTTCCGAGCAAAATCCAAAGAAAGTTGCTCCAACAATTGCAAGTCTCCCTGCTCCATCAACATCAGAGCTTGTAAAAGAACATGTCTCAAGATTTTAGGCTATCATGCAACAATGATTTAATACAGTATATAACAGTGCAATGTTTTGACTTTGCATTAATGAATTTGCAGTACTGTACCACTCACAGGTAAATTTGTCTGGTGTTAGGAAGACTACAATACTTAAGTAGAGCACATCTGTAAAACCAGAACAATTTCCTTGTCAGTGGTAGGGTACTGCCAGTTAATTGGTTAATAAATGATTTATGGGAATTAATGTTAGTGTGTATACATGTCCTGTTGTTCAGTGTTCAGCAAAAGAAAGGAAATATGAAAAAATATATTGTCTTTATCTCTCCTTGAATCCAGTGTACCGACCATCAGGTGATGGGTAATGTTTTCTTATTTTCCATACACAGCATGAGGGAATGACTTTCCGATTACCCTTACCCAAATGACCATGTATCCACATAACATATTGTCTGTAGGCTGGACAACTCATTGCCCGATTGTCATATGTTGGAGTAAATACATATGTATCTGCTAGACTCCTTATGACAGTTGCCAAATTATCGGAATCTAGGCAAATGTTTTGGAATGCCAATGTTGTACTGCGGCACAGTCGCCTTTCTTTACAGCATACCCTCTCTTTGTCTGTTGGCATCTCACGGCAATACCCACAAACACAGAACGGTATCTCAGATGTCTCGCTTGATTGTTGGAGTTCCTCTGGACCTGCTGTAACTTTGGTGATCAAGTCTTTTAACACTAGTGGTCGAGACATAAAACCCTCCTTTGCCACTTTTACTAGGGTCTCTCTGTCCAACCCATCAATCATTTCCTAAATAACAGATGGTAGAGCAAATAATTATAAAAACTTAAACGGGCAGGGCTTTCAAAATAACCAGAAGGTGTCACAAGGTTTTAGTAAGCTTTCAATTCTTTTTTTATATCCCCACAGCCACCTACTTTATCAAAACAGACACCTACTCTGAATAATTCTGAAAGCCCTGAAAGGGCAATATAAACTCCATCAAAGAAACACATGGAAACTCTTTATTGCACCCACATTGTAATGGTTACATAGTCTACACCCTATGGCTTGTTTCAGTTTATAGTTGATTCATCTTCCTCAAAACATATTAAAATATTCGGAACGCGATAATTGCAAATACCATGCAAATTACCTCGACTGACACTTCACTCTGCTCATTTGTTTCGCTTTGTGGCGCTACTGTCTCTCTGCCTGTTTGACTCCGAGGTTGTGCCTACAGCAAGAAGAAAATAATTGTTTTCTCTATATAAAATATAGTCATGAAAGGCACAGCTGCACAAGTACCTTACCTTATTCTGACATGGTTTACTATTGGTACCACAAGAGCAGTTCTCTCCACACAAAACTCCGTTGCCTTTACAAACACAGCCAGTTATTTTCCCACTTGCAGCGGTTTTCAGTTTGCGCATACACTGTGATTTACATGAGCAATTCACTGCAGGTGGGGCGATCGACTGTAAAATATACAAATCATATTTATCAGTATAAAGTTGTTGTCTATTTTGCCAATTAGTTTCAAATATTCATACGAAAAAGCAGACATTTACCTCGCTAGATTCATCTGACTCTTCAAGCGATGAATCCATCGCCATCTGACTTTCTTCGCTTTGGAAAAGTGATGATCCATAATAGTTTAATACAGACGCATCCTCTTCGCTTTCCGCCATATTCAACAGAACTATAGTATTTTATCCTGATTATTTACATATTTGCGTGAAATATGAGCCGTCTGTATGATGCTCATCAATCAACAGCGGTGTTTAAGGTCACGTGGGGTGGTGTATTCTGCCTTTAAAATACCTGAATATAGTCTCAATTCTAATATTAAGTCGGTTATAAACCTTGATAATATTAAAGTTTTCAGAAGATTTGTGGATCAGAGGAATATTAAAAGGAATTTAGACTTATAAAACATATAGAGTTGGAGCAAGTTAAGCTGCAATGTGCCTCAGTTTGCCCTACTTTGTTATTTTAAGCTGTTTAACACCAGAATTTTTTCTCCTCAAGGGGAAAGTATTGGACTTGGTATTTGAATGGGTTAACCAGTCCATCTGCATGTCTACCTATCTTTGGTTAATTATCTCATTAGATCATTAAGCCACAATGCTCTTTAGTGCACCCTATTTTGTTATTTCACTGTACTTCTGGACAATATTTCTCATCAATGGCCGGAAATGTAATTGACTTCATGTTGATTACTGCAATTAATTAGATTACTGCCATTAACTATAAAATAGGACATTCAAGGTTGGAGATGTAATAGCAATAGAAGTTGCTATCATTGTAGCGTTCAGGGGCGTCGCTAGCCCAAATTGTCAGGCATTTGGCAATTTATTGTATCGCAATCGGGAAATTGTTTTCGTGGCCAGCATGATTTGAATTGGATAGGAATGGAAAAAACTGAAATATATGAGTTTTTGTTGCCCCCCTCCCCTTCTAAGGGACCGGTCATAAAGTAAAAGGGGGGTGGGCTGGGAAAATAGGGGGGTGGGTCACTATTTTTGAGCACGGTTGAAGGGGTGTGAGTCATCAAAAGTTAAGCGCAATCATAAGGCTAGGCCATGTAAAAATATGCAGAAGATTGGGCCCCAGTCATATTTTTGTGTTAAAAATATCCGTGCAAAGAACAGGATATCTGTTTTTTTGGGCTAAGTACCGAAATTTGGTATGAAAAATTAAGATATAGTCCTTGGAAAGCAATTGCAACGTATTGGTCCACGCGTCAATTTAAGGGTGGGCTACAAATTTTCGTGCAGCTATTAAGGGGTGGGCTACCAAAAGTGCAGACACCAAATATATGATTTTCCCAGCCCCCCCTTTTACTTTATGACCGGTCCCTCAGAGTAAGTATGTGTTGTGTTATAGTTTAAATAACAAGTTCTGATATTGCAATCAAACTGACAGGGTAGTTGTCATGACCATGGGAATAAAAATATTTCTATGGCTCGGCATTTACATTGGGCAATTTTTTATCATTCATCACAAAATTATACCTGCACCCTAGGTGGTTCCCTGCAGGGGGTCATAACCAGGGGGAAGCTGATGAAAATTAATTCTGGTATTGGTGGCTGATCATTATCATTTAATATTTTTGTGAATAAAACATTTCTTTAAAAATGTATATGAATTTATTAAAAATATTTATATGGTTTCCCACTCTGGAATTCATACTTTGTAACATTTGGATCAAAGGGTTTATGACGTTTTCTTGGACAGAATCCAATTAATACAACTTCGTACAGAGGGCAGGGCTTCTTTGAATTACTGTGTGGACAAGATAAATGAAGGGATTGCCAATTTGGCATATTGTACTACTCAATAAATTAAAATCATTAAATACTTTCTGCTACAATTAGCTGTAATATTATACTGTATATTATTGTGTTTCATATGACGTCATAAATTTGACGGGCCGTCGACTCTAAATCGAGACACAGTCATCAGAGTGAATTAATTTTTCACTGTAGGTGTTGGCGTTGAGTTTGGTGGCAAATACATGCCATTTCATATCATTTGTTCACTCCAGTACAGAATAAGCATCAATACATTTTAGGTTGACCCCCCGTCAGAACGTGCAAAATGCCATAGTGAAACCCAAGAATTCAATATATGTATTAGGTGTACGCAGACTGGAATACAAGTTAACATCACTGCCTGATCATGAAAAATTCTGGTTTATTTAGAGAATAAAGTTTTTCTGAACTCTTCTATAAATAAATTATAACAGCAAAAGATTCATATGCACCCATATAGGGAAGGGTTACATGCTACAAGTTAAAATGAGTATTACATACTCCAGCACTTGAAATGTTTACAGTACAGTATATACATTAAATAATAAAATATATAACAGTAAATCCCAAGATTGGATTTATTGAAACTGGTCATTAGCTAGTTCTTCGCGATTAAATAACACCAAGACAAATTAATAGTTATTAACCATTTCTGACACAAATAGTATTTGCAAAATATAGCACATATTTGATATTATAGTCAAATGGTACAGTGTACTGACAGTACTGTATACTATGTATAGATTAAAACTACAGAAAACCTGTACAACACAAAAAATGAGTAAAGTTTTCACGCTCCATTTAAACTGTTGTGATATTATACGCATTAAGTATACGTTTCTTTGCATTTCCTTTTTAGTATTAGTATATAGCACAGCTCTGAAACACCAAAACAATTTTCGTACACTTCTAAACGGCCGCCATGTTGTATATAAAAATATACGGTTAATTAATTTTTGCAAAATTGCAACATTCCATTGTATACCAGCAACCAATCATATTCATTTCTGACATGGATTATCCCAGAGCCTTCGTTTCCTTCCCAAGGATCGCAGGCTCGGGGAACGAGATTGGGCCGTTGGCCAAAATTATTTCGGTTCGTGGCAACCCCCTGAGGAATAATTTTTTTATTGTTTAATGCATAGTACCATAGATGCTCGACTACCACAAAAGGTTCCCAAGCAAAAAACTTGCCAAATACCGAGAAAATGGGTGATCGGTGATTATCCTCTATTAAATTGTATTACATCAATTTTGTATTCAATTACAACAAAAATGACTTACATCACCAGAAAGCTTACAAAAACCGCATATAAGACTTTTAAACAGTTTTTTGATTCTTCAAATAGTCTTTGAGTTATTGCTGTTTTAAATGTGAAAGTTGGACCAAAATGTCGCAATAAGAACTGGGTACTAGGTCAAAAACGCGTTTTTGACAGCGTACAATCTCGTTCCCCGAGCCTGCGATCCTCGGGAAGGAACGCGAGACTCTGGGATAATCCGTTGCCGGAAGCCAGGAATCCTGGCTAAGATTGAACTACGCATTCCATTTCAAAGGCCAATCAGATTCCTCCCTGAAACGGATTATCCCAGAGGCTCGCGTTCCTTCCCGAGGATCACAGGCTCGGGGAACGAGATTGGACAGCGTATAACTCGAAAACAATTTGAGATATAAAAAATACTGTTTAAATGTCTTATCTGTACATTTTTGTAAGCTTTCTGATGATGCAAGTCATTTTTGTTGTAATTAAATACAAAATTTCACAATTTCATGTTGTAATACAGTTTAATAGAGGACAATCACTGATCACCCATTTTCTCGGTGTTTGGCAAGTTTTTTGCTTGGAAACTTTTTGTGGTAATTGAGCATCTATGGCACTATGATTTGAAGAACAGAGAATCTATTCCCCAAGGAGTTGCCACGAAATTGCTTTTCTAATCACTTTTTCGCACAACGGCCCACGGCCTAAGGCTTATGGTGAATTTTGTAGATTTGGTTTAGCAAGTGAACTTGAAAAAATAGACCTCTTGTAATAATAATACGTTGCTATTAGGATATCATACAGTATCTTAGCATATCACACAGTATCTTCGCATATCAATATCTATAGGATATCAATATCTTAGGATATCATGCAATATCTTCGAATATCATACAGTATCTTAGGATATCATACAGTATTTTAGGATATCAATATCTTAGGATATCACACAATATCTTAGGATATCATGCATTATCTTAGGATATCATACAGTATCTTAGGATATCATACAGTATTTTAGGATATCAAAATCTATAGGATATCAATATTTTAGGGTATCATACAATATCTTAGGATATGATGCAATATCTTTGGATACCATATAGTATGTTAGGATATCATATAGTATCTTTGGATATCATGCAATATCTTAAGATATTAATATCTTAGGATATTAATATATTAGGGTATCAGTATCTTAGGATATCTTAATATCTTAGGATATCAATATCTTAGGGTATCAACCACTTGGGATATCAATATCTTAGGATATCAACATCTTTAGTTAGCATATCATGCAATATCTTAGGATATCATGCAATATCTTAGAATATCATACAGTATCTTAGGATATCATACAGTATTTTAGGATACCAATATCTATAGGATATCAATATCTTAGGATATCACACAATATCTTAGGATATCATGCAATACTTTACGATATCATACAGTATCTTAGGATATCAAACAATATTTTAGGATATCAATATCTATAGGATATCAATATCTTCCAACTGAGCTACCCGGTCAGGACGGTTCGAGTAAACATATTATTCACCTGAGTACACAACACCAACACAGAAAAAAAATTCATATTACTAGAACACATTGGTATTGAAGGAACTAGATACTGTTCCGAAATATCACTTACTCGAACCGTCCTGACCGCGTAGCTCAGTTGGAAGAGCATTGGGCTAGTATTCCAAAGGTCGTAGGTTCGAATCCCACCGTGGCCTGGCATATTTTTCAAGCTCGCCCGGTGTGGATATGCACTCAGAGTAACATCGCAAACATATTATTCACCTGAGTACATAACACCAACACAGAAAAAAATTCATATTACTAGAACACATTGGTATTGAAGGAACTAGATACTGTTCCGAAATATCACTTACTCGAACCGTCCTGACCGCGTAGCTCAGTTGGAAGAGCATTGAGCTAGTATTCCAAAGGTCGTAGGTTCGAATCCCACCGTGGCCGGGCATATTTTTCAAGCTCGCCCGGTGTGGATATGCACTCAGAGTAACATCGCAAACATATTATTCACCTGAGTACACAACACCAACACAGAAAAAAATTCATCTCATGGTATCATAAAATATCTTAGGATATCATGCAATATCTTTGGATACCATAGAGTATCTTAGGATATCATATAGTATCTTTGGATATCATGCGATATCTTAAGATATTAATATCTTAGGATATCAATATATTAGGATATCAATATCTTAGTATATCAATATATTAGGGTATCAGTATCTTAGGATATCTTAATATCTTAGGATATCAATATCTTAGGGTATCAACCACTTGGGATATCAATATCTTAGGATATCAATATCTTAAGATATCATGCAATATCTTAGGATATCATGCAATATCTTAGAATATCATCACAGTATTTTAGGATACCATATAGTATTTTAGGATACCAATATCTATAGGATATCCATATCCTAGGATATCACACAATATCTTAGGATATCATGCAATATCTTACGATATCATACAGTATCTTAGGATATCAAACAATATTTTAGGATATCAATATCTATAGGATATCAATATCTTAGGATATCATGCAATATCGTAGGATTTCATGCAATATCTTCAGATACCATACAGTATCTCAGGATATCATATAGTATGTTAGGATGTAACGAGGGGAAATGGCCACATACTCGCCAAATAACAATTGCTGGTCGAAATCACATTCTTCCACCGTTGGGAGTTGCAAGGAAAACGAAGAATAAACAATTCCCAAGAGGGAATTAAAATTGAATGTTAAATTATCTAAAATAAGCTCAACTCGTTCATCTTTGTCTCAGTGAGACCATCAGAACGTCCATTATTGCATTAAACATTATTCCATTAACCACTGAACAGAGAACATTCGTAATCAAAACGTCTTACGAAACAAGTACCTTGCAGAAGGCTTGCGTTGCTTTTAGATTGATTCACTTTGCATAATTAATGTACTTTCAACTCCCAACGTTGGAAGAATGTGATTTCGACCAACAATTTTTATTTGATGAGTATGTGGTCATTTCTCATCGTTATGGTTTAAGAAAGGTATCATAGAAAAGCTAAATAATAGCTCTTTCATCCTATGTAAAAACTAATAAACTGTTAGATAACTACTACAAATATGTGTAAGAACTTATAGCAATGACCCTTTACTTGTTTGAGCTGTTGGAATATTGCAATATACAGTATGTTGCGAGCGACATTTGATGTATGCATTCGCGTATAATTAACCCAAAAAAATTCAAAATGGCCGACATATATATATATATATTCGAAGGTCAAACTTTTCTGGATCCAGTATATATATATATATATATATATATATATATATATATATATATATATATATATATATATATATATATATATATATATATATATATATATATATATATATATATGTATATATATATATATATATATATACAAATTTAGAAAAGCTCGAACTTGAAATGATAGCATTGAGCATTGAGTATTAGAAAGCCAAACTCTAAGGCCTTTCTCGTTACCGCCTGGTATCGACCTCCTAATTCTGCAATTGAATGGTTTGACATTTTTGAAAATTTCCTTACATGTGTTGACAATGAATTTGATGATATTTATGTAATGGGGGATTTAAATTGTAATTTTCATAATAAATAACCTGAATGTCATACTACCCGCCTCCGAAAATATTTTACAAACATTTTAATTGTCTCAATTAATTGATGAGCCTACGCAAATTACCAATGAAACATCATCCTTAATTGATTTATTTCTAACAAACAACTCAGATAGTATTGTTCATTCAGGCGTCTATCCTTTGTCTATTAGTGATCATTATTTAATTTATTCAGCTCGGAAGATAGGTATCTCAAGAAGTAGACCTATGGTTATTTTGACGCGTAATTATAAAAATTTGATGAGTTTAAATTTAAAATGATCTATCTGATGCTGATTGGCCTGATATTGACAAGTTCAATGATGTGGATCAAAGCTCAATTGGTGCACTTGGAATGAATTATTTATTTCTATTATTGATAAACATGCACCTAAAAGAATTATTAGGACGAGCAATAAGCCAGCGCCCTGGATAGATGCAACTGCCAAAAAGTTGATGTATGAAAGAGATATTAGAGAACATGCAGAGAGTTGATGTGTAGCCAATTTATCTCTAAAATGTTTTAAAGATGTTTCTGTCTTAAGTTCATTTGACAAGGTGTTCCAAAACTTCGCGCCAGAAAAATATAGCTTTGTTGATACAATTCTGTTTTGACTGATGGCAGTGACAGATTTAAATTCCCATTATACGTAGCCCAAAGGATTGAGCTCCGTCATTATAGTTAAATAACTCTTTCAAATAAGTTGGAGCATTATTGTTCAAGATTTTAAACAACATGGACATTTTAAACCGTTTCCTTCTCTCATCTAGAGTCGGTTACCCAAATTTTTCGAGCATGCAGGTCAGCAGACCTAACAGAATAATCGGCCCGGCTAATAATACGAACAACTCGGTTTTGTAATTTTTGTATTTTATTTGCCAGTGTATCACTCATAGAGTCACAAACAATGCAACAGTAATCAAAGTGCGGTTCAATGATTGAATGATATATAGTAATGAGTTGTTTTTCTGTCAAAACAGAGCTGCTAGAATTATCTTCAATATGAGTAATGACGTAAATCATTCTATTGCTTTGTGTGAATTCGGTTGAAAACCACTCAAAACATTAAGGAAGAAAGCTAAAGCAAAAATGATGTACAAAGTATTAAATAAAATGGGTCCCAAATCACTCACAAATCTATTTTCTTATAAATGTGAGAAAACAAACTATCACCTTCGGGACATTTCAACTGGTCTTTGTTTACCAAAACCTCGTTCTAATAACATGAAAAATAGTTTCATGTACAACGGAGCTAAACTTTGGAATTTTATTCCAAAAGAAATTAGGGAAAGCAAATCACTTTCTTCCTTTCGAAATAAAATCGCTGCTCACATTTATGAATAAGTATTGTAAATAATGTGCTTGTAAATAGTCTGCCAACTTTCTCATTAGACATTAATATGTTACTATTTTAATACTCATTAATATGTTATTCTATATCTCTTAAAACTTTTGTAAATAGCTCTAACTATCACTTTCCTGTACATGTAAAAATCTTATTCAATTTTTTGGCACACGCCCCTCGTGGAAATCAGCTTCGGTTGACAGGGTCACCGTGTATAAATAAAAAGTTCTATCTATCTATCTAAAAAATTCCTAGTTTACGTAATAAACCCATGCCAAAAATTGAGACCTATTTAATAAAATTGTCAACATGTTTCTTCCACGTCAAATTTTCATCAATTGTAACTCCTAAGCATTTTACATGTCTTACTTTACAAAGTGAAATACGTCCAATAGAGAGAGCGACATCGCCGACTAATGACGCAATCTTTTGCCGAGTTCCTATAATCATATATTCAGTTTTTAAGGCGTTTAGAGTTAATTTATTAGCTATAAGCCATAATTCAAGTTTTCTGAAATCACGTTCCATTTGACGCTGAAGTTCAATAGGAAAACATGCAGAAAAGGACAAATTTGTATCATCAGCATACATTCGTGCAGTGGCATGATCAAAGCAAGATGCCAAATCGTTGATGTATATGAGAAATAGTAGAGGTCCAAGTACAGAGCCCTGCAGGGGAACACCACAAGTAATTTTAATCTCGTATGAAAACACGCATTGACAAAGCATCTTTGGTACCTGTCAGTCAGATAGGATCGAAACCAATCAACCGCTATTTTTTCCAATCCTAAATATTCTAATTTAGCCACAAGAATAAGATGATCAACGGTGTCAAAAGCTTTCTTTAAGTCCATGAAGACGACACCGTTTAACATCCCTCTGTCAATGTTAAAGCACCAGTCATTATACATATCTAATAGTGCAGTCATTGTTGAGTGAAGAGATCTAAATCCCGATTGCCGAGAATCAATTAAGTTATTATGTATATAAGGTATGCATCCAGCTGGTCATAAATAAGTCTTTCAAACACTGTCTAAATAAGTCTTTAAAATCAAAAATTACATTAAATTTAAATTTATTTTATCAATTTTATCAAGTAACAAAATAAGTGCTTAGCGTGCTTTGTAGATAGGATTAATTTAATGCTTTCATCCGATGACATGTACAAAAATACTGTAGGTTTTTTGCTGTAGTCATAAGGCTAATTTACCTGATGAGTGCCACACTAATTAATTATGCTCTGGATATCCATTGAGCACCCTGCCAAATGTTTTTGTAAACAACGAAACCTAATTATTATAACCTAATTATATATTATATATACGCTCCTTCACTTCGGTGTTGTTGAGCACTCTGCGGAGTTGTTAATGGGTGTCTATTAGCGATAATGCAAAGCTCACTTCCCTTGTGGTCGTTTGAGCACTCTGGCCCCATTGCGCTCTGCGCATGTCTGGATGCGTTGAGTCACCGTGTTGTACCACATGCCTTGGTGAGAGCAAGTTCATGGGGTATAAATACGAGTGTCTCACGTATCTAGACGTGTACCAAGCTGCACTGACGAGGCATTGAACGCCGAAACATGCATGTCTGCAGATTGTACTATTACGCTCCTTCACTTCGGTGTTGTTGAGCACTCTGCGGAGTTGTTAATGGATGTCTATTAGCGATAATGCAACGCTCACTTCCCTTGTGGTCGTTTGAACACTCTGGCTCCATTACGCTCTGCGCATGTCTGGATGCGTTGAGTCACCGTGTTGTACCACATGCCTTGGTGAGAGCAAGTTCATGGGGTATAAATACGAGTGTCTCACGTATCTAGACGTGTATACCAAGCTGCACTGACGAGGCGTTGAACGCCGAAACATGCATGTCTGCATATATATATATATATATATATATATATATATATATATATATTCCGATTTTTGCGAACGAGAAAACGGCAAGTTGTCCGCTTTTTATAGCCTTTACAGGGTTAAAAACACAATGAAAAAACTCGCACAAATTGTTTACAGGTTAGCAAATAAATTTTTTAAATTTAAAATGGTTAAAAATATATATTTTTGAAGATATAATCGACCGAAAGAGCGAAGATAAGAACATAAACAAAATAGAAAAATATTGAAAATATCCAAAAAGCAAAGTCTGTGAATTCAGACCCTGTGTATACAATAAAACAGTTATTCCATTCAATCTCGTCGAATATGAGCGATAGCCGATTCGTGAGATTCGAGAGCCGATTCGCGCCTCATGATATCAAAACATATTTTGATAACTAAGAAGTTTATAAAAAGAAAGTTTAGTTATATTCAATCATGTAGTTTCTTTGTGTATTGTGTATTACAAAAAAAATAAACACGTAAACCGTGTATTGCCACGCGTGGCGGTTAGCTCAGCCAAAAGTTCTTGCTGTGTGCGGGAAGCTTTATCTAGTATCTTTCATTTAAATAATTCGTCACAACCACTTATGAGTGTGGTAAAAGGATAGTACTGATTACGTTTCATGGAAAATAAATCCGTAATTTCACGATTCACGAAGAAAAACGTTCGTTTCACGGAAATTAGTAAGACGCTGTTGCTGAAATGTCTATTTCGCTTCACTAAACGGCGTGTAGGTATTGTACAGTTTATGAACTTCAGTGGAAGCAAGATAAAAAATGTTCATTAGTTTGCTAATTAATTTTCCACTCTTTCTCTACTGATAAACGAAATGGTCTCTCCTAAAATTTTCTAATCACCTTTCACGAGAAATTGGTCTTTAAATCTCGTTTCACGTAAAATAAATAAAGGATTTCACCCTTCACGAGAAATACTTAAATATCAATTTACTGAAAATATTAGAGGTTTCACGTTTCTCTAAAAATACTTTTTGTTCGGTCTATACGACTACTATACGAACCAATCGTTTTAGAAACTCTTATATTTCAGCAATGTCAAAATAATTTAATGAAAGAAATAGGTTTGCCATGAATTGTTTTCATAACATGCGTAAGTTTAATGGTGTGCATCGGATCGGATTGGACGTTTATAATCCGACAATTGGCTAATCCGATCCGATCCGAAATTGTCTAATCCGAATCCGAGTTTTGATAAAAAATTCCAATCGGATCCGAAGAATTCTTTAATAAAATAAATTTCTTATTCAAGTTGAAATATTTAACCAAAAAAATATAAAAGCAAGAATTTTTTTTATTTATTTAGCTTTGCCAACTAGGGCAGGGTCACCACAACAGCATATGCCAATTACTGTGGGCCCTTTTTTACCTAACCCACCCTGTCAACTTTCCCTGTGGGAGGAAACCGGAGTACCCGGGGAAAACCCACGGCTTTCGGCAGAGCGTTGACTTTTACTCTTCTCGCATGGGGACTGGGTTCGAGTCGCACTGAGAAGGTACTTAGTGAGACTCGAACCTGCAGCCTCAGAGGTGAAAGGCAAGTGCGCTAACCACTTGGCCACCGAAGCCCCTATAATAAATACATGTCAAGAAGCTGACAAAGTGACGTGCAGCGACAATCGCGATAATGCTTTGATAAATGCGTGGATAATTAAATTAATTTTATTACGGATATCGAAGTCCGATCCGACTACGAAACATGCAACTTTATCAATCCGATCCGATATGAATATTTTGGTTCCCAAATCCTTTATAACGTACAGTCAGGCCCGGCCAGAGCTACGGGGTGTGTGGGGGGGGGGTGACACCCCCAGAAATTGTATTCAGTCGGTAGGACTGCTATCCAGTCGGTAGAACTGCTATTTGGGTTAAATATTTTCGCGCAAAGGGCAAGATCGGGGTCGGAATTTTAGAAAAAAATTTTGGAAAAATGGAGAAAATTTGTGATATCTGGAAAATTTTTTTAATGTTCCGGAAAATTTTTGTATGTCCGGAAAAATTTTTGGACCC